TAACCACATGACCTTGGGTTAGCTAGAATGGACTGAATCATACAAATGAATATATTATAATATTAGCCAAGATATATTGCAACGCTTCGGCTTAATTATGTAAAAATGTACTTTACTCGTTCAAATATAAGGCGAGGTCGCTTACGACCGATGCATTACAATTCATACCACAACATTACTAACGTAATGTCGGGATTTAAAATAAAGTTCCTTTTGACAGTGTGAACAATGAATTTTATTGAGGTTAATCACATGGTGTTCGTTCAACGTTCGGACGACAATTCTTATTCTTTATTCTGCAATTCAAACGTTTATTAACCTTCGGTGCAACGACGTTCAATTCGCAATACGAAGCGTCGAAAACACCTGAGTTTGTATTCATTGCAATGCTTACACTATCAATACTTAATATTAACTTATTTTACCACTACACTAATGTGTCCTGGCTAATATTGTATCGCTGTTGTATTAACTATAATGCCTCAACCGCAAGCGACTCGGTTTAAGTTGGCACGAAAAATGTATATTTTTACATACTCAAGCCGAAGTCCATTTTAATTTAACCAAGGTCACGTGAGATCGATACGCTGCAATTTATGTTTGCTAATATTTATTTAGATTGCGACCTCGGGTATAGTTTACTCGAAACAATTGTTATTTTGACAGCAGGTAACATTTGTTATAAATTATCATTTTTTCATTTTCTTAATTTTGCAATTATGAAGTTAACACTTGCTTTTGTTACTTGTTTTAACGTATACACAAATTTTGTTTAATTGTAAAATAAAATATTTATTTCAAAAAATTGACCATGTTTTTCAACATAAAAGTTGATTTCTCTAGAAAACGGTCCACTTTAGAGCTTATGACCTACAGTACCTTTTTTTGTAGAAAACATTGACTGTCCAAATGGGAGTCTCAAAACCGTACTTTTTCCAGTGGCGTAGAAGTTGGAAAGAAAAAGAACTACTACCCTTTCAAAATCTTCAGCAATTATGACTTAAAAAAAAATTTTTCTCGCATAAAACTTAGTTTATTATAAGTAGAAAATGCTTACAAAAGCTGTTAAAAACGAAAATTGTCAAAAATTTTATGATTTTTCTATTCAATTTCAACCACCTGTATCTCAAAAATGGTGCATTTTATAGAGTAAGTTGATAGAAACTTTTTTTCAAATTTTTGGACAAGCTGTCACAGCCTGAAGTCCTGCACATATATTATGAAACAGCCAGTATATCTCCTTATATTATGAATTTGAAAGGATTTAACGCTAAAGTATTCATGTAACTATGTATTTAGAACATGTTGTTTTTATGGCGAAAATAGTTATAAAAGACAAAGAAATTACACATTAATTGCTGATTTATAAGGCCGTATTTATATTATGGGATGTATTAAGGGATATAAATGTTTTATAAACCGGCTTTGAGTCATACATGAACGTTGCTGATCGTTTGCACATTTTTGAAAAATACAGGTCCGTAATGAAAATTTTGTCGGAATCGAAATTTTTCAATTTTTGCTAGTTAATATAAGATATCACTATCTTGCATATTCTAATTGAACTAACACTAGACCTAGAACTAGAAACATTCGGATTTAGCCGCACGTCTCTCAAGACGGCTAAACCCGAATGATTCTAGTTCTAGGTCTTGTGTTAGTTCTAGTGACAGTGCTAGTGCAAAACTAGAACTAACACTAGACCTAGATCTAGAAACATTCGGATTTAGCCGCACGTCTCTCAAGACGGCTAAA